AGAGAGAGAGAGAGAGAGGCAGCACTGGCCATTCCAATGGTCAAGTTATGCACGATCCACACTCTCTATAAATCCCCAAGCCTTCATCTTTTCTGAGAGAATTCTGCACCAATCCCTCTCTCCTCTACAGCTTGCCTTTGGAGTAACGAAGTTCTCAGAGAGAACAGTTCCTCTGTGTGGGTTTCTCTTGATCTTTTCCTTGTTGCATTTGCTTTGAGGTACACAAAACATTCTGTTTCTTGTGTCTGGTGAAAGGGATGAGTAAGAAAGAAGACATCAAGTTCCTAAAGATACAGGTAAACAGTTCACCTTTACTTTTTGCTCCTTTTCTTCTCTCTGTCTTTGCTTCTTGTAGACCCAAGATCTTGTGCAAGGTCATTTCTTGATCTCCATCTGTGCCTTGAACAATCTCTTCACCATGCAGACATGCATTCTCAAAGTCAGCATACACTGTAATGGATGCAAGAAGAAGGTCAAGAACCTGCTCCAGAAAGTTGATGGTACTTCAACTGCAGCATTGTTATCTTTGAGCACCCATCTTCGTTACCTTTCTATCATTTCTTATAGCTGCTTGTTTCCTTTTGTTTTGTTGTTTCTGCTTCAAATTGATACCGTGATCAGGAGTGTATACAACCAGCATAGATGCAGAGCAAGGGAGGGTGACCGTCGTCTCAGGTGATGTTGATCCTGCCACCCTCATCAAGAAGCTCTCCAAGGCTGGCAAACATGCGGAGCTGTTGGTTCCCAAAAATGGCAACATCATCATCAACCAGGGCCAGAAGCCACAGCCACGACATGGCTAAGCGCAGCAGCAGGACAACGGGAAGCAACCAAAGGGTGGAAACGGTGGTGGTGGTGGTGGGAAAGACCGAAAAGGTCAGCACCCAAAACCAACACAACAGCTGCTTCAACAACTGCAGCAAATGAAGGGGGCCAAAGACCTGCAGCTGCCGCAGCTGAAGGACTTGAATCTCCCACCCGAGAAGTATCCCAAATCTACCTTTCCTCCCAGAGGCTTCGATGACTACGACGACGAAGACGATCTTGACGATGAGTTTGGCGGTGAGGACGACGAGACGGACGAGTTTGACTGCTTCGACGCCGAATTCGATGGTGACTTGGAGAACATCAAGATCAAGCCCGCGGTCGCGGCGTCCAAAGGCAACGTCATGAGCAATAAGAAGGGTGGCGGTGGCAGCGGTGCCGAGAAAGGTGAAGTGCCAGTGCAGAACAAAGGCAACGCCATGCAAGGGAATGACGCTGGCGGAGGTGGTAGAAAAGGTGGTGGTGGTGGATCTGCCACCAAGCATGGTCGGAAGAACAATGGCGCTAACAATGGGAACACAAATGTCAACAGTAATCCAAGCAAAGGTCATGGCAAGAAAGAAACGGGTGGTGGGGGTCATCATCCCATGCTCAGCCGTGGCATGATGGGAAACATCCCGGCGGCGGCAGCAGTGGTGCAAGGACTGCCGGCGGGAGTTCCACAGTCTGGGTACTACCACCAAACGATGGCGCCGCCGCAGCCGCCCGAGGTGGTCGCCACCGCCAACCCGTACCAGCAGCAGTACATGGCTGCCATGATGCAGAAGCCACAACAGCAGAGGATGATGATGATGATGATGATGAACGGGCAGGACAGCGTCTTGCAGCCGGCGGTGGGCTACGCTCGGCCGCCGTTGCCGATGTACAACGTGCCGCCACCCCCGCCGTCGTTGCTGCCGCACCAGAGCGACCCCTACACCACCTTGTTCAGCGATGAGAACACCAGCAGCAGCTGCTCGATCATGTGATAAGCGTTAATCGACCTTCAACCTCTTGCGCTTGCTCGAGTTCCCTACAAGAAACATGGGTGAGATCTACTACATAACATAATTTTCCTTTTTGTTATCTGGGAAGCTAAAAGACTATAAATGCTGTTGTATCAATCAAGGTTGAAAGAGTTGTGTTGCTTTGGAGCTTTCTTATGATGCGACGATATGATGGAATTCCTGATAGGGTTGGGTTAAGGTTGATTAATCATTCCGGCGATTACTCAAAATATTCTTCCAAAAATTCATCCTGTTTTGCCGGTGAGATCGATCACATTTCCGTCGCGTGGAATAAGAAACGTGCATCGGATGAATTCGAACCAAGTATGTGATGGGATGTATTGTATTGCTTTAATTGATTGCCATGGTTGCAGGCCTTGAAAAGATCCTCTGCCTTTTGGAAACCAAGTTGTTCATGCCTCTCTCTCTCTCTTTATTTGCTTTTACTTCTTTCTCACCTTTGCTATGTTCTCCCATCTTTTTTCTGACCCAAATTGTCCTCTCTCTCTCTCTCATGGTGATTTTATGGATATGAGGACAAATAATAATAATAATAATAATAATAATAATAATAATAATAATAATAATAATAATAATAATTTATAAAATTATTCAGTAAACCAATAAATATTGAATATTTATTTTGGGTGAAAATATTATACTATTTTCATACTAATTTTATTTTGGATAAAATTAGTATCTAAATTAAATTAATTTTGAATAGAGTTACACTATTGAAAACCACATAACCATACCACAAGCTGTCATCTAAAAATCCAAAACAAGGCAAAGAAACAGTTCATCATGATGCCAAAGGTATACAAATCATCACATTCGTAAATCCAAAGTCCATATTTGCAGAGGCGACAAGAAATGCATATCAATTTTGAAGAAAATTACGCAGACACATCATAATCTTCAAGTAGAAGCATTACTTACAGTAGTAGACACCAATCTGATCTCCTACTTGGGAGCGTGGTGAAGGAATGCGGAACCTTCACATGTAACAGTGGTTGCCATCAGAATTTTGGATGATGTTTCTTATTTTTCTGCTACACTTACCTGTCAATAGCTTTCAGTATCTGGACCATTGTCCATGGATCCAAACTACTACTACTTGCCAACAATAAATAAATAAAAATCCATTATCCCATATGCTTGGTGTAGCTGCTGCTGAGATGATGCATCCCCCCATGTATACAAATTAGAAGATGAACTTCCACCCACCTGCCAACTTCACAGGTTGATCATCATGTACAAGGTTCCATGTTGCCTATCCAGTCACAAAACTGGAAAATAAAGCAGGTAACAAGAGACAGGCAGGGTAAGTAACTTTCTGAAAATCTGATGTTTCTAAACAGAATAACAAGACAAATTCATGACTGGCTAAGCAATTTGTTTATCAAATGTGTTACAAAGCTAAATACCGTGACACGTCATGGGCAGATCTATCTACGATTCTCAAAGAACACAAAACCATAAGCTACAATGTTTTTCGGAAAGTAAATATGACTAGATCCGACACCCACGGTTACAGAAGTTTCAAAACCTTCAACCCTGACTAGCAGATGCAGATGGATTGAGCATCAGTGATCAAGATGCTTCCTATCCGGAACTCCATCTCCTTGAACTATGTTCAAGCGATAATTTAGAGTGAAGTTCAACCAAGTACAATTTGTTAGTTGATTATATTAGCTTCATACCAAATCAAAAGCAGTTACGCAATGACAAAAGTTACTCAATCTGGGGCTGGGGCAAGAACCTTTACCATGTAAAAAATTCTCAAAATTAATGCAACCTCTGCTTCTTGCTTGTTTCAGGATAATTATCAAGCACAACAAGATCATCGTCATCATCCTCAAGTTCATGAGAATTCTTAAAATTGTCAGCATCAGGCCTTGAGAGAATCTGAGAAGCTTCCTGGTTCTCTGTTGCTTCCAAGATTTCTGACAACTTTCTCTTCGTCCCAGAAATTTCTGCATTTACCTCAGCCTCTTCAGACTTCATTGTTGCTTCAGCTGCTGCTGGAACGGCAGCAGATGTGCTATTTCCGTTGCTTACAACCTGAGATTCTTTCTCACGAGCGGTCCACCCCAACAGGACCATCTTGTCAGGTTCCTTATCCTCGTCAAACTCCTCCCTGCATATAGCAAAAAGCAATTGTGAGCATGAATGATTTCAGGTGTAAAAGTACCTCATCTATGAACATCACCTATTTCATCCTTTTAAAAGCTTCTTTAACTTATTGAATAATTCCATGGTCACTAAACTCACCATTATTGTCTATTTCTAAAACTAAGTTTTCTGTAGAATATATATTTAATAATTTATAAAAATGTCTTCTCCAACTTCCATTGATCACATCATTAAAAAAATCTGCAAGTCTTCATCTTTATATACTTTACATACCTAATATTACCAAAATCTTTACCCTTTTTTATCTTTAGCTTTAGCAATTTGAAAAATATTCTTTTCCCACCCTTAGACCGAACTTATTAAAAAAATTGTCATACTTATTGTTTTTCCTTTTTTTAGTAGTTATATATCTTCTAAGATTCCCCTATGTTTCTAATTTTCTTAATCTACAGACCACCAACTCACTTAAACCTGCACATCTACTTTAAAATTTTCCAAGAATCGCTTTCATCATGTTCCTGATCTTAGCAGCCATCAAAATCCACATATTGCATCTTGTCCGTTCAAAATTTATACCTCCTTTCTCCATTTGATCTCTAAAAAAGATTACATCTTTGTCATTCATTGAGGTAGAACAGAATAGGGAAGTAGAAAGGAAGAGAGGGGAAGAGAAACAAAAAGAAGTGTGAGATAAAATAGGAGAGTATGAGACTCGAAAATATACACTGCTTTTCATTCAAATCTGAAGTGTTTTGATCCATTGACAAGCTCCACTATTTATAGGAGTTTAGGAGCCTTAGTACAATCAATGAATACAATGATTCCCAAAAGTAATCTCCTAGGGAATTAGTATGCCTCCTAGAAATTCAAATTGTAACTTTTAGGATATTTAAATAATAAATGAGTACACTTAATACAATAATGTACTTAATACAAAAGGAGTCCTGAAAGACTAAAAAAAATTTTAATTTTCAACACAACTCTTAGAATTTCTAAGTCAACTAATTATGACTTTTTGTTGATTTCTTTACCTAGAATAAACTTTTTCTAAAATCCTTTATAAAGCTAGATGATTCTCCATCATTCTCCCACTGTGGAAGAGAACTTGACCCCGAAGAGTGATTTGCAAGTTACTGGTCCAACAAGTCTAGTGCAAAGTCACAAAGTTCCTCCAAAATCCAAAGTAATCAAAGTAGCATCGAAAGTCGGACATTCCCACTTAATAAGAAAGTGTTGAGTAATGCTAATAATAGATGTAACAAGGCAGTTATCAAAAATAGTCTCTGCATCATCCCTGTGTTGTGAGAGAATTGGTTCTTTGGGAGGATTGTCACCTATAGAAACACCAATAAACAACGAAGGAACAAAAGGACCATGATATAGAGTTAAATCCTCCACATTGAAAACTGAACTAATTTTTAAGTTAGAAGGCAAGCATATATGCATTAGATCCTAATTTTTTGAATGATAGGGAAAGCACCAATGGCTCGGGCATGCAACTTTCAGAATGAATTTTTAGGGAATCTCTCAAGGCGAACGCGAACCAAGACATAATCACCAACTTGAAACTCGACTTCTATAATGTGCATTAGCAGCAAGTTTGTAACTTTCATTACTTGAGATAATTTTACGTCGAATCTCAACGTGCAAATTATGAATATGTTGAGCAATGGAGTGGGCTGGTTCTAAGGCACGATAGTCAAGTGGAAGAGGTGCAAGGTCAATGGGTGTGCGAGGAGTATAAACAAGCACAACATCGAATGGCTTTTTCCGGTCGAGCGATTGATTGAGATATTATATACAAACTCTACCGTGGGTAAGGTTAAGCCCTCGTTTTCTTGTTTCTCCCCAACTAAACATCTAAGAAAATTTTACAAGGAATGGTTAACAACCTTAGTTTGACCATCAATCTGGGGGTGAAAGACTGAAGAGAACTTCAATGTTGTGTCGAATACTTGTTACAAAGTTTTTCCAAAAGTAGCTAACAAATTTCATATCTCTATCGAACACCATAGTTGAGAGCAAGCCACGTAATTTAATTACTTCTCGAAAGAACAATTTAGCAATATGTGAGGCATCATTAGTCTTGTTACATGGGATAAAGCGAGCCATTTTTGAAAATTAATCAACAACAACCAAAATAGAGTCAAGGTTCACAATCTATTTTGGAAAGTCCAAGTGCAAAATCTAAACTCACATCTTGCCAAGTGAATACGGAATAGATACTGAGGTGTATAGGCCAATATTGTGTTTGCGAGTATTGGCAATGTGACAAGCTTAACACCGTGACACTACTCAAGCAACATCTCACTTTAAGGACGACCAATAAAATCTATCCTCGACTAAACAAATGGATGCATGTAACTAATTCTCTTTGCATAGCATATTCAAATCAGGAATTGATGCATGTAAACAAATGGATTTTAAATGACAAAAAATGAAAGACAGATAAATCCTACATTGACGTCCAATAAATATGTTCTCCAAAGACAATTCATAGAAAAAAAAAAAAAAATCTCCCTGCAGAGATGACAAAAGGCCACATTCTGGGTACTAAAGCATATGGAAGCAAGTATAAAAAAATACCTGTGTTTAATGTTTATATGGCATGATAATTCCTGCTGAAGATCCTCAACTGTAAGCATGGTCCCACTGGAAACTGGTGTAGGAAGTTCCACTAAGACCTGCAATATAAGGATATTTAACATATTTGCATTCACCATGTTGAAAAGAAAGTAATAATGTCTGGAAAAAGTTAAGAGAAAGACTAGAAAAGACCGATAAGAAAACAGAGAGGCCACAAACCTTGTCAAGGTTTAAGGCATAATTTGCAGCAACATCTTCCTCCAAATCATCACCCACCTCAAAGATAAGGGTTGCACCTTGCATTATCAAAGGAAAGCTCATGCCCAGTTTGTTTTTTACTATCCTGTCAACGAAGTCCCGCAATGTTGAGGTTCGAGTGTTCACCTCCAGAAGCAAGGGTGTCTGATTATACAATAAAAATTATTAAAGAAAGGAACTTAATGAAATGACATAAAAGGTCATGACTCATACCTAATGAACCAACAAACTGACCTCCGAACAGACATAACAAGATTTGTTGGCCTCAAATGGCTCTACTGGCATCAGAAGCATCTTTCTAGCTGGATGTTCAAGACAATAGGTCATCCTGAATATGCAAAAATGTCCATTTATTAGAACTGCTGTAGTAGGAAATAGTTCAATTACCACTATTGCATGTAACAACAACTAATAAAAAGGTACCTAGCTAAGTAAAACAAAGAATCAAACAGCATCACTACACTAGTGATGCAAAGTGTTCACACACGAAAGAATGTTTTTAATAAAAATACCTGCAAGAAAGCAAAGTACTATTGTTGTTCATTATCATCAAGTACCAAGCAAAAAACATTAATTATGTGTCGATAAGAAACTGGAGCATTTTGGTCATATCAGTCAGGCACTGACCACAATTTCTTTTTCATTTCCCTTTTCAGCCTGTGTCAGCCACCTCACCATTCTCATCGACCCACCTGTGGCCAATGTTATGGCTCTAGGGTCTCCATTGCCTCCCTATTGCAGAAATTATTAAATCTATTAATATAACACCAAAGCAACTGTGAGAGGGAAACAGTTCATTTTTTCCTAAAGAATGAGCAACCAGAACTTCCTATGAATCCACTCGCCATCATAAGACATGTTTATGGTAACTTTTACACCTAGGCAATGCTGGCAAAGAAATCTAAGACCTCATCCTGGTGGATGATCCACCCTCTTTTATTTACTGTTTTTTCCCAAAATGTTATGTTCCATCTGCTCATATGATGAAACCAGGTCTCAAACCTTGACAAGGTTTTAGCTCTCGGTTTATTTTGTTACCTGTCAAGGTTAAACAAATTTCAGCTGATTTAGAAGATAAACTGGGAGTAGTTAGTTGCAGGTAATGATTTTCTTTCCTTATTTGATGAACTTACTAATCAAGAAAGGAACTTTAGATGAGAGTTTGACAATGTTAAGATGGTATATTAATAAAATTGTGAGTTGTGTTGGCCTACTGGCCTTTATCTTCCCCCCCTCCCAGACCCTTCTCTTCTCTCTATTCTTTTTTTTTTTCCCCTTGTCTTTTTGACTTGTAGATGTAACATAAATACTAGTAATCCCAGAAAATTAATTCCAATCTAATCAAAATAAATTGGTCAAAGCAGACCAAATGTACTGCATGTCAAGGCAGCAATTTAAAAAGGCGCTCGGGCAAGGCGAGGCGAGGCCCGAGCGCCTCGCTAATCTCCCAAGCGGCGCACTTCAAACAAGCGCCACCTGGGCGCTCGCCCGAGCCCAGGCGCTGGGCGCTTCGGGCGAGCGTCTGGGTTAACTAAGGCGACCGAACCAAGATTTTAGGTTTGGTTTAGTCCTGGTTCGGTCTATGATGGTTAGTTGGTTCAATCGAACCAACTAAAACTGATATAAGTGACAAACGAACCCTAACCCTCGCTGCTACCGATCCCGATCTCGATCCCGATCCCGCTGCTCGCCATTGTCGCCGCTTGCAAACGCTGCCGCTGTCGCCGCTCGCGCCTCTCGCCGCTCCTGCTCCCGCTCCCGCTGCTCGTTGTTGTCGCTGCTCGCAAACGCTGCCGCTATCGCCGCTCGCGCCTCCCGCTGCTTGCCGCTCCTGCTCCCACTCATGCTCCTGCTCCCGCTGCTCGCCGTTGCCGCTTCCTCTTTTCTCAGTCAGCAGGCTCAGCACCCCTTTACACTTCCCTTTAACAGTATACGTATACTGTATACTGTGAAATGTTAATATTATTAAGTTTATTTGAAATGATTAATTTTCAATATTGTTAATAGATTAATAATATATTATTTTAATTTTAATATTATTAATTTTTATTAATTATATTATATATTTTTATATTTTAGCATCTCGCTTCGCTCGGGCGAGCGCTTAGCGCCTCGGGCGTTTTTGGACCTTGGCGCCTTTTGGCGCCTAGCGCTTTTTAAATCACCGTGTCAAGGTGTCCTGAGAATCACAAGGTAGGTGATGAAGGGTCAGGGTACATGGAATGCATGTGCCAGTCATAATCGATATGCACTCATGCCGCTAAACATCATTTTAAAATTCAAATGGCAATTACAAAAATGCCTAGCACATCCAGATAGTTATTGCGAACTATTAGGCTGGATATGTTTTAAATTCATAATAGCCGAGTTAAATTGTCCTTCATTAGTTAATTTTTTTTCAAGTTGTTAAACTAGCTGTCTGTGTTATCTGGGTTGACAACAAAATAAGAAAGGGTCAAATTAATCCAAAATTTTAGATGGGCCCAATTTGGTAGGTTAACTTCTTTGATCAGATTATTCCAATTCAAGTGTGTTTTGACTCGTAAACCAATAACCACCACCTCGACCATCCTTAACCCTAATACAAATGCCACCTTCAAAAGTTTAATTCTCATGCGAGGATAAGTATCAACTCCAGAAAACAGATATTACCAATGCACTACATTTTAGGATTAAAAGATAAAGAAACAAAGTGCTGGAGAAGATACAGGACCTACCTACAGTTCTGAAAATCAGCTTGAAGCACCTTGATTGCTTCAATCACTATTAACCCAGCAATAATAGCATTGGTTGTTGCAACAGCATGCACAATGTTGCCAGCAATTCCTTTGGCATCAAAGAGGCTATGTAAAGATATTCCAAAAGAAGATGCCCTAATATTTGCCGCAGAAGTCACAAATTCCACAGCCAATTGATCATCTTTGTCAAAAGTCAGGTTCCCAATCTCCTGAAAGTCAAATAGGAGAATGGAGGGGGAAAAAAAAAGAATCATGTAACATGAAGATTAATATCAAGAAAACATACTGAAATATACAAGAATTAATGACCTTCTCTCGCCTCCCAAAAAATAATCTCAATGCCTCCAAAAATATGCGTGAGTTATCAGCAAGACTCCAGACATCCTGTGGGTTACTGAGACCAACAGAGGACATAGCAGACAATGGTAAATCCTCGGTCAGGAAGTTCTTTTCAAGGTTTCCATTTTGCAGGATAAGTCTTTCTGGCAACACATCTTTAAGAAAGATGGGGTTAGGTCTTCTTCTGCTCTTCCATGTTTCTTCATTAGCCAAGGCAACTTCAATGCTATATCCAAAAACATGGTTGTAGATCTTTCTACCATACTGCTCATGATCCTCATCTGAGCCTCGCTCAAATATATCTGTAGGTTTTTCTGAATCAGATCCATCACCAGCACTGACAAAGAGATCGTTCTCCTGTTTTTTGTCACCAAACAACTTCGCAAAAAGCAGGTCCTTTGCCCAAACTATGCAGTGAACAAACTGTAACAAATAAACAGAAGATCAAAATATTACAAAACCATAAAAATGCACAGGAAAAAAGGAAAAGTGCCTGCAGTATCTTGTAGTATCATCCGACAAAAAAACATTTTCATGCATGGGATATTTAATTTAGTAAATGTTACTTCAATAATATTTGGAAAATTTTCCAAATATTACTACTTAACATATCAGCCACTTATTCCAAAATAGGCATAATTTAAATGCAATGGAAAACCTGCAACACGTATGGAAACAAAAAATTGATTTAAATCAGTAGCAAAATCACTAATAATACAACACCCAGGGTAGAAAATAGTGTCACTAACTGTATTGCACACAACAAATTCGCACAGAGTTCAGTATGATTCAGTTAACATGTAGCACTGGCTTGTGTATCAGTCTTACATTCTCCACAAGATTTCGAGCTCTGGAACACTTGAATAGGTTAGAGTTCTAAAACGAAGTAAGATGGCAATGCCTCATTGGAGTACATTCTCTACAATAAAAATTTTATGCAGTGATGTCTTAATTCCTACTCCCTATTAACTGATAAATTAAAGAACTAGGACCATATGAGTTTCAACTATCAAAGATCGACTAGCAAAAATTAATAATTTAAGCATGGAATGCAGTTTTCCTCGGACCAGTAAACACCAGCTGATATTTACCGGTCATGGAGAAAACTGAGACTTGAAACGCCCCATTTCGGGCAGTCCAGGGTAGAAAAATGAAATGCTACTCAACAACCCTTGTGAACCATACATATTGCACAGGCTACCCGGCAGTCAGTTTAACCAATGAGATCCATTGAACTTTAAACAACTTCTTTGCTCCCATTATACTCTTCCTTCACACACTCTCATTCCCTCATCTACCTTCAAAATCTTCTTAAACCTCTTGAAAAGCTCTCTCAGTTCTCTTACAAAGTCAACCTAACACATCAACAGGAAGCCCATTTGCTAAATGAAAAGGCTTAAGATCTACATCCCATCCGATTACTCTTCAAAATCAAAGTAAATCCAAATGTAGTCTCTTAGTTAGGCTCCTAATCTTTCATGCAATTAGGTTCAGTTTGTCATATAATCCAATATAAGCCAAGAGTTCTTCCATTTGTACTTGATTTGGATAAATATTAGATTATATCTCTTACATGTATACCTAATTTAAGGTTTAATCTACAAATGTCAAGCATGGTTCTTTTCGATCTAAGCTAGAACCGTGTGGATCAAGGATGAATACTTGCAGATCTAGTCTAGATTTAGATTAGATCCATTCAGATTTAAAAAATATTTTTCTAAGATCTAGTGGATCAATAACTTCATCTTCTTGACGCTTATTCAATAGCAAAGATTGAACTAAAGGTGACATTCACATCAACCGAATGGGTCCCCGATATGTTAGTTTGTTGGAGGGAAAGAAATCAAAAAAGTATATCCTTGACTTCAGATTTTGGGATACAGTGGTCAAGATCAGGACAGTTATAGAGTCACTGTACATACCTCCAACCAAAAGTTGTGATAAGGAAAAGAACTACTTGATCCATCATGTACAATCAGGAAGGACACTTGAAGGTAATTTCAAGTCATCTACGTGTATCGATATCACAGACCATGGATGGGATAGCCAGATGTCCTGAGATATTTATAATGGAATTTGAATTCATTTTAAAATTGTTGAATATACATTTAAAATATGCATAATTTTAAAGTGTTGTGTTCATCAAGGACAACAATTTTGGCTGAAAAAGTATGGTATGACTGGTATTAACAATGATCAATCTACTACTTGATTCATGAACCAGGTACAATTCGACTAATACATGTATGGACCACCACACCCTCAATACTGTGCACAGTCGACTTTCAACTGTTTCCGACCAATACTGATCGGTAACAATCAAAATTCGATCTTTAGAAGGTTTCCAAGGTCAAATTTGACCATTGGCTCACTTTTGGGCTTATTTAAGACAACTCTTTTTTTTTTCTCATGCTCATTCTCTTGGTTTTTTTTTTGTCTAAACATGCTTAAGCTCCCTAATTACCACCCAAACTGATTGGGAAAGATTGATTTGAATAAGAAGAGGGAGTAAATTTCCTAATCCGGTCCAACTTCTCTAGCAATCAAGGTAATCTCTCATACCTAAACTTTAAGTTAATCTTATTTAATTAGCTTAAAGAAAATGCATATTTTTCCATGATTAGGACTTTTAGGACTAATTAATTTGTCCATTTGAACTAAGGCCCAATCAGACCATGTAATAATGTTCACCAAACTAAGGGCTTACTATTTCATGTACACCTACTGAGGACAAATTAGACTTGAACTAATTAAGGGCTCCAAAAGAATCTTGGATGGATACTTTCGGTTCTAAACAACATCCATTCAGATGAAGTCTTAATCTTGGTAAGATTATTAATTTGTACAAGTTTTCTTTTTCAAGGAAAATGAGCCCAAACCTTGAAAGGTTCTAGCCAACATCCATTCAGATGAAATCTTAATCTTGGTAGGATTATTAATTTGTACAAGTTTTCTTTTTTTAGGAAAATGAGCCCAAACCTTACTCCATAGAGAAGCAAGAGAAAAATATACAACAGAGTTCTTCAACGGATCCATAAAGATAAATATTTCTGCATCATTAACAACTATACATTTTGACTTCGTGTTCTATCGTTATATATTAGATTTATCTTATTGTTATTTAAATTGATTGTATAATCTATGATAAGAGGCAGAAACACCACGAATTAGGGTCTTTTTACCATTTTTTGGTTGATTTTTCAACCTTCTTTTTTCTAAAGCCAACTTTTACCATTTACTAAGTGTTGATACACCAGTATAAATAGGTACATACCTGTCCGAGCCTAGACTGGTACAAGACCAATGCCCGAAATTGCAATTCATAGTGTTCATTATGCAACATATCATCTTAAATTGGCATACTAATATCGATATAACCTCATCATCAAATCAGAGTTGTTTGTAGCTCATCGCAATCTGATGTATAGATATGAACCACAAAACGACAAGATAATCAATGCTGTAATGGTGGTATAGTAGATCACTTATCTAAATTGACGATGGTTTACATTAAAGAATAATCAACTATCTGTTAATTATTTATCCTTATTAATATAAAGACAATTGTTTTGGGAAGCTTCCAACATGTTCATAAAAAAAATGCAATATCATACCAATTTCATATGAATCCTGATTATACGATTAACACCTACAATTTGACTTATAATTTAATTAAGTTGTTTGTCTAGTATACAATGTAGTTGAGTGATGATTACATTTCGGAACCACCACTCAAAAGGACACCAAATTTATAAAAAGCTGACCAATCATGTGTATGAGAGACGGCTGCGAACATAATTAGACACTGTTTGTTTTAATTCATATGAAAGTTCACAGTTGTCTCTCATACACACAGTTGAAGAAGTTGGCGTACATCCACCACAACAGGTGTTCGAGGATCACTCTGTGCTGACATAGAAAAGAAAACAAAGGAACTCAAGATTGATCCATTCAGCATTCAGTTCTATCATGATAATTTAGATCTGATGCTCAATTGGGTCTGTGCAATAAAGAACTTAGTTGATCCTCTACAGGATGAATTAAGAGACCCTCTCGTCCATCTTGCTTAATATTTGAGGAAGTACATGAGGAACAGGAATGACATTTGTCACAAGATGTAGATTGATAAGAAAAGGAACAACATGGCCAAATTTCAAGCTGTCTGTATAATGGGAACCGTAGTAAAACACAACAGATTGAGACTTGCAACTATCATGGTAAGGAAAAGGACCAAGCTTTATAGTGGATTAATCCGTTCGACACAATCAACAAGCAATAGGTTCAATGGGGTGATGCGACACCTTCTCCCTCAAATTGCATGCTTCGTAAGGTCTGTGGATATAGTAGTGATGTGAATAGCAGTATGCCACTGATGTTAGTGACCAGGATGACCAATCTCATATTCCCGCTGATCAAACTCAAGCAAGTGGCACATAGACTGAGGAGGAATATTTTGCTCATGTCATCCAGGATGTGCATCTGGAACATGAGAACCCATGCAACCAGTTATAGCCACAAAGATGAGAAAGGGTAATGCACTTGATTACAAGTAAAATGAGATAGAACCTGTACAGGATCTTGTATGGTATCAAGATCGATAACAGTTCATTACATTTACAACCTTCCTACTATGGTGGATCTCATGACTAATAGATGTATGGTGAAAATTCTTCATTTTCTTTCAGCCAGATACATCTTGTAACACATAACAACAGTATAGTGATTAGTGACAAGAGTCATAAATCTATTGTACTCCATTCTAGAAGGTCGTACTCGTCACAATCTCTCTTGCCCCAGGTCCCTTCCACCAACATAGGTAGAGGTTTTTGTTATGAGGTTTGCAGCCTCTACTGCCTTCTTTGGACTGATCCAATTCAAAAGGTTATCTTTACCCAATGACCACCCCTTCATAACTTACCATATTGTTTGTTCAATGAAAGTATATAATGAAAACACTGCAATGCACAAGACCAAATATACAAAGCAGAAATCTCATGAAAAAAAGACATTCCACCTAGCAGAAACATCTGCTGGAATTGGCTCACCTACAATAAATTACATAAAGCAATGAAATTGTGAATTATGACGGTAATCACCATTGACAGAGTTTTAAGTTTTAACCTTTGATGGAGTGCTGGTGATAGTGCAGACAGGATAGGTCTTTGGAGTCGGTTTGGGTTGGCACTCGTAACATTCAGTTCTGCCCTTAATATGGACAGTAACCTGCTCATCATGAAGCGACAAAGATATGTATCAACTGAAGACACAAAGAGATAGTAGTCTAATTCAGGCATAATAAACTGATTCATGGTCCTGAAGTAAATGCAATAAAAAAATTTGAAAGGAAACTAACAAAATCTTCAGGAACCTAGTTAATTCAGCAATAATGAAGCCACGGACATAGGCAATATTATCAACTTGGTGATTTGTAAATTGGATAATTTCCTGGCTTGACAAATTAAGTTTTGCATCAAGTATCAAATGTTCTGCAGAAATATATCACCAAATAGCAAGCACAACTAGTAGCTGAACAATATAGATCATTCTACAAACAGTATGCTGTAGTTAAGCTCAGCAGCATGCTTGAAAGCCATAATCGAGTTTATTGCTAGGAAAAGCATCACTAAAAAGATTTAATTTTTTTCTCCAACAAAGAATGAACTAGGCATCAACTTTTCATAACTATGCACAAAAAAAAAAGGAGCAGAAAAGAAAATCTGACAATGATAGAATCTCTGCAAATGACGAGCAGTTTGAGCACAGATTTACTAACATATTGGCAAGATTGTAAAAAAAATTAATAGAATCAAGCAGAGTCCTACCTGCCCCAGAAACCCTGTGGTTCCACTTTCAATCAAAGGGACTTCAGCAGCCAGGCAAAGACGGTTAACATGTCGTCTAGCATCCAAGTTATCAAGACCATTCAGTACCACATTAAATTGCTTAAAAAAATCCACATTGAACCCAGGATCCTTCACATTTGCATGGTATGGTGTTATATTAATTTGAGGCATAAACTTTAAGACAGCATCTCGAGCAACCTGACACAAACAACAATGTTCTTTGAAATATTGAAAACCACAGATAAACATGAGAAACTTTAGAGGCATCTACTGTAATTTTCCAAGACAAAAGAAAGAACTATATCTGTTTCATACTTTAGCCTTAGACTGCCCCACATGACTTTGCCGAAATAAAAATTGTCTGTTCAGGTTACTGACTTCAATAGTGTCCATGTCGATCTGCACAAGTCAAATAATACTGAGACATATACAATACTATTTAATATAAACATCAAACTTACAGCACAAAATAAAACTACAACAACTTCCCAGAGATGAAAATTTTGATGAGATAATTGGTTTTGCAACCTGAACATATAATTGTTACAAAAATACACATGATATTGCACTGTCTACATCTACTAAAATGGATCCAATGTGTCCCATAATCAGCAAGTGAATTAGCACGAATTCTAGAGGACAAAATTGTTATATTACAAAAATAAATTTGGAACCATTTAAGAATTCTAAAAGAAAAGTAGTTTCATACAAAAGGTATATCGATTGGCGAGTACAAATAATCAAACCTATACTATTAGTTCCTAACAAATATATTACATAGTTGGACTTGAAACTATAGCCCCTTTTTTAATCTCAAAAAGCAATATCTAAAACATAATTTATAATATATATTGGATGACATCCACACTTGCAACAATAGATAATAGATTGACAATCTTAAATTGGAATAGCCTTACCCACCTCTCTCAAATTAAAATGTAGGATGACTACCTGGTTTTGATCCACATTGATTGTGCAAACCCCAAAAAAATATTCTGGGCAAAGGAGATCCTTCCAAATAAAATTGGTCCATTCATCAGATCCATTTTATATTGGTTGAGCCAGTCCAAGTTGTAACTATTAGGTTTTCCTCCAACAGAAAAGCACCCAATGGAGTTTCGATATAAAAATTAAAAATAAAATTTTAAACTCTATTTTAACGTAGATAATATGATGAAGCAAAGATAATGAATAATTATCTATTAACAAAAGATTAAGTTCATATTGATGGTTTGCTTTGGGCCTGTAGAATCCACTACAGCACCAACTATTCACTATGTGCAATTGCCACTGTGTACATGCTACATACGATTTAAATTACTTATAGACTTGTGAATCCTTTCACCAAAAAGCTAGCATTTTCTCTTTTTTTTTTTGTGTGTGTGTGACCAGTTCATCCCATCCTGGGTTGTCCTTAGACTTTTCTCCATTTTAAACTACAATATTTTGGTAAGATACAATGAAAACTCTGTAGTTGTCCTTCTAGATGAGAAACATAGGCATTTCATGGACGATAGCAAGATTCAACCTTCCCCAAGAAATAAATATCTGAATTGCATTTTAATATGATAACTGAAGCAACTTGGCAGCGGTAATTACTTTTGCTAAAGAAACTTTGTCTCATCTACTCTCCTCTGAAGACAAATAGCACCTATTCACCGACTGCAATTTGCATCGGAGAAGCTATTTTTGTCACTTTAGCTACTATCCAACAACAAATGCTTCATATAGTCACCTAAAGACTTATTTCCTCCAAACATTAGCTCACCAAACAACCTGTTCACTGACTGCAATTTGCACCAAAGAAGCTGCTTTTATAAGTTTAGCGACCATCCAACAGTAATTCCTCCTATAGTCTCATAAAGTTCTATTTCCTTTAATTTGAAAACAAACACCTTTGTACACTATGACAAATGCATTAAAAAAAAAAAAAACTTATCACCGACTTTTTTATCACACGCTAATTAATCAGTAATAGACACGGAAGTGGTGGTGGTTTTGGTTGCCCAAAACAGATTATCCTTCACCAAACCCTAAAATTCCACAACGTCGAGAAACCGTCGCATGAAAATCTCGAAGTAGAAGTAAAAGTTCAGAAAAGCGAAAAAAGTTGAGCTCATGGACGCGTGATTACGATGTGAACATCCTGGAAGCCCGAGAGCGCGAGGGTCTTCAGTAACTCACAGCCAATGCCGCCCGCGCCCACCATCAGCACCTTAGCTCGCTGCAACCAAGTAAAAAATAGCCTCTTCATCTTCACTTACCTTTTCAACTCCAAATGCCCTAAAAGAGCAAACGAAAGAACGGACAGCAATAAAACCCAGAATAGGACATCAAAACCGCACCTTGATCGCCTCCTCCTTCAAATCGGAACCCATAGGAGCGGGAAGCGGGGAGCGGAAACAAAGGGGGGGGAGCAAATAGTAGCAAATTTGGTGATTGCAAGTACGGGCGCGAGGAGAGGCGAAAGGAGAGAGAGAGAGACAGAGAGAGAGAGAGAAAGGAGGAGGGGAATATGATGCGTCGCTAAGACTTCCACGGAAGCATATAAAAAAAGAGGAGGAAACAAGAGAAGTGAAGGGCTTCGAGTCTTTGTCCCCTCTGCTTCGAGGCCATTGAATCGCGAGTGAGGGCAACTATTCGCCGTGCTTATCTGATGTTGTAACAAGGCACTATTACATTTCTATCCTTTCCTGTTTCAATAAATAGTGTATTTGCCCCCTAACAATTTTAATTGGTTTTCCACGTCAATCCTTTAAGGAATAGCCATTTTAGTTATTTTAATATCCTCATTGTCGTCTTAATAGCATTATTACATATTACATATTTTAACAGCATAACGTTAAAATATGCTAAATTATCTTCAGATTTTGGCATTGCACATATAACCCATAAAGACTTAGATTTTACATATATACATATATATATATATATATATATTATTTTATACGTTTAAATCTTCAATAGTACCCTCCTCCACTCACATCCATCGAATAGACCCAAGTTTATTTTTATTTTTGTTTTTATTTTTTTGCAAATGTAAATGAAAAATAGGTATATGAAACGGAATTGAAATGGTACGCAAGGTGGCCTCCAGCTCGGATTCCCCGTGTCAAGTCGGGATAAGGAATCGATTTGAGTTCTCGCCTTCCACCGACAGCAAGCAGCACATCATCTTCCATCCCATCCCATCCTTCACGGTGTAAGCAGTGATGACTCCGCCACTGCCTCCTCCCCTCGCGAGGCTCATAGCCACATGCCCTCCTTCCACCCTCGCGCTCGCTGCGGTGCGCGCCACTGTTCCCACGACTGCCACGCTCGTCGTGGTGCCACCGCCGTCCAAGCGCGCGTCGGCCACTCTGGGGAGGCGGGAAGGCCTGGCAGCCGCATGCTTCGCCGCCCTCACTCTCTCCCTCGCTAGACCCGCCTCCGCCGCCATACTGGAGGCGGACGACGACGAGGAGCTCTTGGAACGGGTGAAGCAGGATCGGAAGAAAAGACTGCAGAGACAGGGCGTCATCAGCTCCTCCGACAAGGAAAAAGGTCAGCTAATGTTGCCCTAAATTAGGATCAACTCCAAGAAACCAGTTCTTGTTCTTTTAATGCTAACTGTTCAGACCCCCATGTTCATCATGGTAGTTTCTGAACTGATTCTTATTCTACTCTTCTTCTGTGCTTAATTGCCTTTTCCTCCAATGAGATTTTGATTCAGATCATTCTAAAGTTTGGTTTCGTGTATATTTGGTGTAGAATACTATCCAAAGAAAGAGTTTGTATGCATGCTTGTGGTAATTTATTGATTTGTTAGTTGAAAATACTCAAATATACATATAATATCTCGGTTTAGTCTCATATTACAAGTGATTGATAGCTTGAAAACATTTATAAGGATCAGATAAATCTACCATTATCAGATTGGGCTTGAGCATTTTGGATCTTTGGTTCAGACGAAACAAGGTGGGTAGATTAGTTATTGTCTTGAGCTGGGTCGTGACAAATGGTATCAAAGTTGACTTAATATCAGACATGGTGACTGCTAAACTTAATATCAGGCATGGATCATTGGGTACTTAACAAGGATATGAATCCCTTTAGTGGAGCAGAGCTAGATGACGCTACTATCATAAACTTAGACTTTAAGTATTTTAGATTGGTGATTCAAGTTCAGAAGGTCATTCATCCCATCAAAACATATCGGGACACAAAAATGTAGGATCTAAGTTGATAGAAAGAATAGAAGATAAGAACAATAATTGAAGAAGCTTTATTGTAGAATTGAAGTAGCTTTAGCTTAAATATATTAACATGTTCCATCTCCTATTTATACAGATTAGGAGGAAGGATTTCCCTCAACAGAATAAACAGAATAGAGAGATTTCCTCATATAGTTGAGAAAATCTTATCTTCTATCAAATTGGGGAAATCTTATCTTCCCCCGCAAGATGGTGCTCCTGACAAGGATACAAATCTTGGATCGATGCAAAGAATGGTTTAAAGCGAGAGGCTTCATGAGTAGAGCAAGAGCAGATCGCTATTGTTGCTGCGATTGCTATTGTTGTGAGGGCACAGGCGTTCCCTTCGTTCTCCTTACGTCCGCCCTTCGTTCTCCTTAAGTCGGCACCTTAAGTCCGCCGACTGTTGGCAGATCAGCGAAGACTACCGCGGTGAGAAAGATGAGGATTGGTCGTGGAGCCTCTCAGGAATGTGACTACAGCAACGTTGGTCGCTGGCCGAAGGCAAGGGCGAAGCTTCGCTTTTCTCAGCGGCGTTGGTCGCTGGCCAAAGGCAAGAGCGAAGCTTCGCTTTTCTCAGCGGCGTTGGTCGCTGGCCAAAGGCAAGAGCGAAGCTTCGCTTTTCTCAGTGCTCTGATACCATGATAAAAAGAATAGAAGATAAGAACAATAATTGAAGAAACTTTATTCTAGAAATGAAATAGCTTTTTCTTGAATATATTAACATGTTCCCTCTCCTATTTATACAGATTAGGAGGAAGGATTTCCCTCAACAGAATAAACAGAATAGAGAGATTTCCTCGTATAGTTGGGAAAATCTTATCTTCTATCAAGTTGGGGAAATCTTATCTTCTATCATGATAAAAAGAATAGAAGATAAGAACAATAATTGAAGAAGCTTTATTGTAGAAATGAAATAGCTTTTGCTTGAATATATTAACATGTTCCCTCTCCTATTTATACAGGGAAGGATTTCCCTCAACAGAATAAACAGAATAGAGAGATTTCCTCATATAGTTGGGGAAATCTTATCTTCTATCAAGTTGGGGTCCGCAAGATGGTGCTCCGATATCAATCTTGGGTCGATGCAAAAAATGGTTTAAAGCGAGAGGCTTTGTGAGCAAAGCAAGAGCAGATCGCTATTATTGGCTGTTGCTGTGAGGGCACAGGCGTTCCCTTCGTTCTCCTTAAGTCCGCCGACTGTTGGCAGATCAGCGAAGACTACCGCGGTGAGGAAGATTGAGGATTGGCCGTGAAACCTCTCAGGAATGTGGCTGCAGCGGCGTTGGTCGCTGGCCGAAGGCAAGGGCGAAGCTTCGCTTTTCTCAGCGGCGTTGGTCGCTAGCCAAAGGCAAGAGCGAAGCTTCGCTTTTCTCACTGCTCTGATACCATGATAGAAAGAATAGAAGATAAGAACAATAATTGAAGAAGCTTTATTGTAGAATTGAAGTAGCTTTAGCTTAAATATATTAACATGTTCTCTCTCCTATTTATACAGATTAGGAGGAAGGATTTCCCTCAACAGAATAAACAGAATAGAGAGATTTCCTCATATAGTTGGAAAAATCTTATCTTCTATCAAATTGGGGAAATCTTATCTTCTATCATAAGTAAATGTAGGGTGTGAATAAATGTTGATCCCACCAATGTGAAGTTAGGGAGAATCAATTTAGGCAGTAAGTCTGACCTAACTGAAGGTTTTGAGTTTTTCAATCAATCTAATTGTGTTTTTCCATAAGATGAAAAACATGGACTGAGTTTTTGAGCAATGCTATAAATGATGCAAGATATCATCTAATTTTTTGCCTTGGTGATAACCCTTGGCCCAATCTTTTACATGCAATGAGTGGCATTCACATCCATGAGCAATGTTTAATAAAATCTTGTCTTGCATCATTGATATGCTTAGAATCAAAAGAATAAAATTTGTTCAAATTGTGTTGAGTTCTTTTCTGATTCTTTCCTGAGCATGTTTTCAAATTCATTGCAACTCTCTCTGTTAATTTTTTCCTTTTGAGGGAAGCTGGATAATGTATGAGGTAGATGAGAAACAATTCATCTCCATTTTTGTTATGATCCAATTAAAGTACTAAATGTTAGATTGACACAGTTCATGCGGGTATCAGAACCTGCTTTACGTTTCATGCAGCGTTAGAATGTGCCATGAAGCCAAATTTAACTTGTTACAACATATGTTACTTGGAATGCTTCTAATCTTTCTTTCTTGGTGAATCCATTAGTTGGCTATCTTGCTTATGAACCATAGAAAATCCATAATTATTTACTTGTCTTCTCTTCATTAGAGACACATCCTTCATAATATTTGCATTCTGCATTTTCTCATGTGAAGTAGGAGCTAGTGGTTACATCTCTTTCTGCCTATTAATTAATGGCACTTATTACAGGTTATCTGCAAGAAGTAATCTACAAGTTAAGCAAAGTGGGCCAAGCTCTTGAGAATGCTGATCTCACTGCAGCAAGTTCTCTTCTAGGGCCAAGCACCAATGCTGACTGGGTTAAAAATGTCAATGCAGCTTTTGCTAAGGTTGCCACTCTATTTATACTTAGCATTATGTATACGAAGCATGGTTTTAAATATGGATTGGTACAACTTGTACCAACTAGTATTTACTGGTTCGAGCAAAGGATTAGTATCGGACCATATACTAGTTGGCATTAATTATTTATTTATTTTGGTTGATACCGATGGTATAGATCGGTATACTGCTCAGTATACAAGCACCGTACCAGTGTTATAAATTATTGAAACCAGTATCGGGTCGAGATTTATTATCTTGATTCTAAATCTTTTTTTCAAAATTTCACCATTATGATTGCTTTAATCCTGTCATTTTTATTGGTTTGGCAGCTAAGCACTAGCCCTGAAGAGAAAACTGAGGTGGACAACTTCAATTCTTCTTTAACTTCCTTGTTTACATCAGGTATGAAGTTTATGCAACAGTAGACCAACTTGTGTCCAAATGCTTATCTTCATGTGCCACTTGTACCTCTCTACATATACTCTCTTCTTGCAGTTGGTGATCGTGACATTGAGTCTTCCAAATTGGCATTTGTATCATCTGCAAGTGCATTGGAGAAATGGGTAGGATTTGCTGGCTTAGTTGGCCAGCTGAAAGGCCTCTAAGTGAATGGAGCCATTCAGCATAAAATGCTACATTTCGTTTCTTCTCTATTCTTTCTTGTACTAATGTTGGATTTTTTTTTTTTGGTGTTTCTATTTTTGGTTGCCCTGAGTTGATTGACTTACTAAGTTTCTTTTTCGGTATTTTGTCTATGAAGCAGCTATCTCTCCTTGTGAGTTCATAGTTAGTACAGCTTAGTTATGGCATCTAAGTTAAGCCAATGTACAATATCTCTGGTTTAAAGCATTATGTTCTTTGTGCCTTTGTTTTGCAGTGAAAATGATAGCAAATAAATGTGAGAATATTGGCTTCCATAATCTCATTGTTCTTTTAAACTTTGCAATGAATCGGGATTTAATCCCATAAGAAATTCAAAGGGATCAAAGAAGAAACAATGTAGCTATTTTTTATCATTTGTATAATAGAAAGATGTATAATTGTTTGAATACATTTTTTGGTCATAGTTGGGAGTGAAATCTGAGTGTGTGTGTGTGTGTGTGTGTGTGTGTATTTATATATATACAAAACTAAAAAGTGGACCAATATTTTATAAATCAAAACTAAAAAGGTTTCTTCTTTATACTATCACGTGTATAAAATTTATTCGAAATATGTGAATGTATTATTAACGAAAGATGAGAGAGCCACTCCCCTCTGGAGAAACCAAAATGCTTAATGACTCCTGCAAGTTTGATGAACCAGTTACAATATTTCTGAATGTAGTTATAATATTTTTTATTTAGAGTATTTTGAATAGAGTGATGGTGTCTTTGATTACTGAACCAAAAACATTATAACTAGATAATGTATTATTATTTCTTTATAATAAAATGATTATAAAATATTATTTTTAAAAAATTAAAAAAAAAGAATTTTTATCATGATTTATTTTGAAATATATAAAAGCCCTCATAATTTTCATCCAAAATCATTTGAATTCTTATTTTAATAGTTTTATAATACCTTAAAACCTATAGTAAAGTTGATATTTATTGTTAGGAAAAACTTCAAATAAGTAACACCGAGTTATAATATTTTGATTCAATGACGAAAATATTATAAATCTATTAAAGACATTCTAATTAAGAACAGTTTTAATTATTTTTAAATATATAATAAAAAATTATAATAATTTCTAAAAAAAATAAACCCTTAAGTTAAGTTTATTCAAAAATATAAACTTCTCATGCTTTATTTGGAAATATGTCAAAATATTTTTAATTTTCACTTAAAATCACTTAAGAACTCCAAAATAAAATATTTTATGCAACTTTAATAAATGTAATAAGATTGAGTTAATTAAGATTCAGCTTCAATGTTTTTTTAATACGTTAACAAGGAAATTGTGTGTTTTAGTTCAATAACAAAAACAAAAAGAAAACTATAATCTTATCAAAAAATATAGACTCGGTTGAAAAAGAAATTATAACGGGAAAAACATAAAAAACAAAATTAAAATTGTTAGTTGTTAGCCAAGATATTTTTTTGTTATTTATAAAATAAAAGCTCAATTTAGATATTTTTGGAAATAAGGGGTACTATCTACCTATCCCCCACAAACATTCAAACTTGGGCTTTTCCCTAAAAATCACCCAAAGTTAGTTCCTAAATTTAAATTTAAATTTAAATTTAAATATTTTTAAAAAATATTTTAATTAAAAAGAATAACAATTTAAATTTAAATTTAAATTTAAATATTTAAAAAATATATTCTAATTAAAAAGAATAACTTGCCGGTACTTATCTCACCAAAAGTTGCAATATGATGCCGAAACCCTTCCCAAAAATGAAATCAGAATTTTAATGTCTCGTTAATTGCTCAATTACTTTTTCATAGGGAAAAAATAATACCTCACTCGTTGATTTTGTTACCTGCCGCTTTACCGTCTCCAACGAATGCGCTTCTGTGGGGGCCATATATAACTATGTGAAAGGGTAAGAATAGGGTCGTCACACGATTTTGTCGAAAAAGAAATTTTACCCACAATCCTCTCTTACCATATGCGGTACTGTCCGTTTCCTCGAGTCACAGAAGCTGCTGATCTCTCTCTCTCTCTCTCTCTCTCTCTCTCACGCACGATTTAACCCCAGACTTCTACGTATGGTTCCGCCCCTCTTCTCTGAGTTCTATTCCATTTGTATCGAAAAAGCACAAATTGTTTTGATCCGATCTGGTGCACCGCCGGCGAGACTTCGTGTAGCTGGGGTCGCGATCGATCGGAGAATCGAGGAGGAGCTGTAATCTGTGGATTTTTCTTGGTACTTCTGACTTATTAGATGGGTTGCTTTCCGTGTTTTGGATCGGCCAGTCAGAGGGAAGAGGAGGAAGTGAAGAAGAAGAATGAGGGTAAAGCGGGTGGGGCTTACCATAAGGATTCTTCCGCCGCCACGGCGTCTAATCATGGCAGTATTGGTAAGAAAGTCCCAACTTTGATGCTAAAAATTGGTATTTTGTGCGAACATGTGGATCCTATGGGATCGCTTTGCTTCTTTGGAGGGAGTATTTTGTTTATTTAGTTTTTGATCTTTTTATTTTGTCTGATCTGTGGGCATTGGGACACTTATCGATCTCTTTTGGATAAGTGTCAATTGAATACTGTATGAGAAATAGAATAGAAAAATAATGATTTTTGGAACTACTTGTGGTGTTCCTGATAGAAAATCTTTCAGAATTTGGGAATCAGACTCCTGCATTTAGGAATATAATTTTTTTGTCATATGCATGAATTTCTCCTTCGCAAGTGAGAAAGATGTATTTTTTTTTCTTTGAAATAAATTTGCGTGTCTGTTTTGTCATTAAACAATTTGGATTTGTTATGACGAATTGGAAGCTAATGCATGAAATTCACCATGCCTCTGTGATACTATGGTCTGATCAATGTCATTGACCAATTAGTCGTTTTTGGATTGAACAAACTTTACTCATAATTATGGAATTCAAAAAGTTGTCCTTCACTTGACGTGTCTAACTATGCCTTCAAAGTTAATATCACATGGTTATTAAATTCTGGAAGCAGAATATCTAGTTTCTTGTTCACCCTCGTTGATTTCTTGTGGTGCTAGATAAATCGAAGTCGCGGATGGGTTCAGACACCAGTAAAAAAGCATCAACTCCCAAAGAATGCAATGCTGATCATATTGCAGCAAAGACGTTCACTTTCCGTGAACTTGCTGCTGCCACTCAGAACTTTAGACAAGATTGCCTTTTGGGTGAAGGTGGTTTTGGCCGTGTATATAAAGGAAGGTTGGAAAATGGACAGGTTGGTTTCTTTATGTTTCAGTGTCGATTTATCGGTGTTTTCTTTGCGTGTTTTACCTATCAACAATGGTCTTCATCACTTTTGTGAAACTGATCTAAAATAAAAAAAATACGTTCAATTATCAGCTAAATTTTGTTTATGCATTATAGAGTATAAAAGCCATTGAGCTTATTGCGGACACAAATCTTTGCAGGTTGTTGCTGTTAAGCAACTTGACAGAAATGGCCTTCAGGGGAACAGAGAATTTCTGGTTGAAGTCCTCATGCTTAGCCTCCTACATCACCCTCATCTTGTCAATCTGATCGGTTATTGTGCTGATGGTGATCAACGATTGCTTGTCTATGAGTTCATGCCATTGGGATCATTAGAAGATCATTTGCATGGTTAGAGATTTCTTTGTTGTCTTATACTTCTGATTTGGTTATTTTGATCTTATTTTTTCTTAATTCCTATGGTTGCAATTCGGTTAGATATACAAACCGATATTAACTAGTTATAAATGATAAGGATGATTTATAAAATAGTTATTAGTTCATTATTAGTCATGATCTATTAGGATCCATCTGCTTTTTTTTACTTGCATAAATGCTTAAAAGTGTAGGGTGCTATGAGTACGCTAAATTTAGTCTTGCATAGTTCCAAGTTACACTAGCCTTTGGAAATTCTAAACTTCTGTTGAAATTATTATGCAAATACATACCCGACTCTTTTTGTTGTGTTTGGATAGGTTAAACTAGATTGTAATGTTTATGGTTTCCGATTTTCTTTTAAATGCCATTTGTTTTTCCCATGTTCCTTTTGTCTACTTTTTACCATTCTTTTTAGTCTCATCCCAACTCCATCCAAGGTTGGTCTTATATCTAGATCAGATGATATGCCCATGGCAACAAACTATCCCACCCCCTAAGTTTGTAATAAAGAGGAATGACTAATTTTTGAGCTAAGGCACACGCCTAAGGCGATTTTCCATCATGACATGGGTGTTGATGGGCATGCCACATCCAGCATCAGTAATAGTATATAGCCTAGGAGAAATGCATCTATGTACCACGGGCTTCATTGTAGTATAACAATCAGGAGTAAGCACATTAGTGGGAAGTTAGAAACAATTGTGACTTGTACCTTCTGATTCACCTTTTTTTTTCTTTTTTTTTCTTTTTTTTTCAGGCATTTGCTTTGGAGTTGTTAACATTTTACATGACTTGCATTGACTAATAAGAAACAACAAATACAAGGTTGTTGTGGAGGGATACTAGGACTCTTTAGAAAGGAATTAAATGATGTCCTCTTCATGTAGACTTGAGTACCAATAACTTCTGCCATTGCTTGTGAGTAGTCCTATGATTTTACATGGGTGCATATGCCAGAGCTGGATTTTTGAAGTTGCCCATAATGGATCTAGAAACCAATATCCAGCAACAAATTTACCAAACCAAACCCCATGTATTTGTTCTTTTACCAAACCAGTCCTATTTTATTGTCTTGCCTAAGCTTTTAGTTTAGATTTGTTCTTTTAGCTTGCAAAAAATTCATGCACCACTTAGAACTTACTACTTTTTTGGTAAGAACTTATCAATGATGAATAGTGCTTGCATTAATTCTTAGAGAAGTCATAGTCCAAATCGGAGACAATAGAAGAAAATAACAGTGGTTCACAAGAAATTGCATTGCAAGAAGATTTCAATGGAGATGAATGAATTTAATTTGGCTACGAATAAAGTAACAGATTGCAAAATTTTCTAACAAATGATTTTATGAAAGTAGGATTCACTAGGATAAGTATATGAGAAGAGCAACATATTAGATGATATAGATAGAGAAAAGGCTCCTGGAATTATTCTTGTGGACGAAGGCCTTATACCTTCCGAAGTCTCATATATGAACGATGAACACATTTTAGTGAGGAATAACTTTCTTTTATTAGTTTAAACTTCATTTACAACACCATCTTTTGCTTAGAACCCTGTCACCTTTAAATAGAACCAACTACATGAAGGAAAAGCAAAATTAAAGTTACCTAAATAAAGCTTATTCTTGAGTTTATGACAAACAACACTTAGTTCATACTGAAAAAAAGATACACTTCCAGGTTTGTTTGAAAAATAATATTTCGTTTTTACATAATTTTTTATTGGCATTGACTTCTTTCTTTAAAACTCAATGCAGCTTATAATTCTTTTTTTAAAATTTATAGATAATTTCCCTTTTTATTTGTTGATTAACTTTGGTAGAACATGTAGAGACATTACATTTGCTAATACCCTGATTTAAAGAATATTCCAAAGAAATAAGAATAGGATTATTGAAAATGAATAATAAGTTTAATGTTTGTATCTATAAACTCATCAGATATTCTAAGGGATTCAATTGACCTTTTATCTTTCTATGCCTAGTATATAATAAAAAAGCACCATGGTCTCCAACAATATCTTAGGCTTAAAAATAATCATATTTTGGTGAATGGATGCTACAACAATTATCATAATGTTTTGAGTTGAGTTGCTACAAACCCTTACTGATCAAAGTTCAATTTCAATATGATTGTCCTTTCCATTTGATAAAAACTTATTCTTATGCATTACTGTCAGCAGTAACCTATTGTTCATTCAAGATATTTTCTACTTTCTGTTATTTCATGTGATGGTAAACATAAGGAAATAAAGGATGTGAAAGGGAAGGAATTGGTAAGGAAAAAAAAGATGGTTACACCGTCAGTTGTAGTCCTTTTTATCATGTCAAGCCCTTTATGTTGATGATACAATTGATGCCACAATCCAATGGAAGATCATGTTTACAAACGTTATAGTGTATTTTCCATATTAGCCTATATGAACGAAAATCTCGAGCGTGTGACTTATTTAAGGTCTCTTATGAAAATCTGCCAATTTGGATTCTCTTTTATCATATGATGGTAAATATAAGGAAATAAAGGATGTGGAAGTGATGGAATGGGTGTAGAGGGTTGTTATAGGAAAGCTGGTTGGAATATCATATCATAGCCCATTTCATGATGTGAGGCCCTCGTGGTTAATGGAACAGCTGATGCCACAATTCAGTGAAAGATCAAGTTTGTAAATATTAGAGCTGATTTTCCATATGGATCCTATATGAACCATAACTTTTGGCATGGAGCTTTAAGGTCCCTCATGAAAATCTCTCAATTTGGACCCACATTACCATATTGTCTTTAATCAAGTTACATGCAATGAACATCTATACAACTGAAAATTTCTCAATTTGTCAACATATAAATAATGTAGATTTCTATCAAATGATTCAACGGGTTTATGAGATGTAGATCATGAGAAAGTGAGAAGAAACAACGTATAACAGGTCTCTATGTTCCTAGGAAACTAAATACAACTATTAAAATAAATACCTTAAATAAGGAAAATTTTGAATTCTTTTATAGTCCCTCACAAAAAAAATTCCAACAGTACATATACCATGTGGTTAATGAGATGCCATCAAAAGACTTGAACCATCCATTTGAAGGGAACAAAACTAGAATCAATTATTGAACTATGTTTCTTTGACTCGGATGATAGTAACTTGCAATTGTGGAATACATTGTTGATGGTTTCTGCAATGATTATTGTGTGTGAGTTTCTTCATTTACGAGATATTCTAAGGATTGTTTAGATCCCTAGCTAGAGTTGTTTATGGATTATGCTTATATATAGCATACTTTGTTAGGGATATTCATAGAGTCATGTCTTATAAAAAAAAAATTATCTTGGGTTTTTCTTTTCCATAAATTATTAGGGATATTGCATACATTATTAGGGATATCTATGCTCTCTTTATAACTATGTAGATGAGACCGATCATGATAAGGATGGGATTGGAGTGATATTCGTCCTATATAATTGTATTAAAGTGTTCACTAGTGTGATTCTTAATTAACCAATCAGTTTGTTATTCCTCAAAAAGGATCACCTATCATAGAGATTAGGTTCTCAGAACTGGAATACCTACTGTAGGCTAATTTTCATCCTCTCAATGACATTAGGACAATAATCTTATATGAGTCTTAGACATATATGTGATTATAAGTAGACAACATGTCCCCAATTCTAATTTGACATGTTGAAATTATGATTTCATGAACATACAAATAATCATTTCATGTCGTGAAGATTTTAGTATATTGAGAAAATTTTGCTAGTTATCACACATTTGCATGACATTTTCATGAACTTTCCAATAATGATTTGAAAAGCGTTAGGCGCCAAGGTTCGAAAATGCCCGAGGCGCTAATTGCTCGCCTAGGTACCGACTCAAGAGAAGCGAGACGCTTTGAAATATTAAAATATAAAAATATAAAATATAATTAATAAATAGAGATTAGCAGTGTTAAAGTCTAAATAGGGACTATTATATGATAACAATAGTTAAAAATCTGTTGTTAGCAATATTTAATCTACTGTTACCAGTAGTTAGAGGGGAGAAAAGAGTCACTGATGGTGGAAAGTGGGGAAGGAGAGGGTGACGGTGACGAAGGAACTTTCGGAGGACGATGGCCACGACGGAGGAAGCTGCGGATGACAGTAGTAACAACAGTGGATGAAGCTGCGAATTGCAATAGCAGTGGTGGAGGAAGCTTCGGAGGACAGCTGCGGCAGTGGAGGAAGCTGCGGACGACAGTAGCAGGGACAAAGAAAGCTTTAGATGGTGATAGCTGCGATGGCAAAAGTTGTGGATAATGACATCATGGGCAAAGGAAACTTCAGATGCATCCATTGATGGCAGAGGAAGCTACGGTCCTCTCCCTCGACGGTGGAAGGAGCTACACACGGAAGCAACAACAGCGGAGGGAACTGCACACGGAAGCTAGACCTTCAGACCCGTCCGTTGACAGTAGAGGAAGCGTCAGTCTTGTTCATTGACGACGGAGGCAGCAGTAGAGGAAGCGACGATGGCGAAGGCAGTGGCTGCGCACGAAGTAGGGTTTATGGCTTAGGGTCGCGCGGGGGGCAGGGTTTGTGTGCGCATGTTTAGTAACATTATATAGCTTAGTTGGTTCAATAGAACCAGTGAAGCTAATGTTCAACCGAATGCTTCGTTTCAATCGGGCGCTCGCCCGAGGCACTTGGCGCTTGGGTTCACGCGAGTGCCCAAGCGGTGCTTCACTGATTATGACTTTTATAATGTAGCAGTGCTCTTAAGATGCCTACTGGTATCATGAAGTAAGAGGACACTAACATGGCAAAATATTAGAGAGCAAGATGCTTTAGCATTTATTTCCAATACATTATTCTAATTCTGCAGTAATAGGTCAATGACTTGTGGTCCTTGATTATTGTAATTTTTTATTGCATTCACCATCAAGCTAAATTAGTTTGAACATTTAGTGTATGATTCAGTAACATAATTGTTATCATGATCTTCAACAATAAATCAGAAAAGGTAACCATATCAAATGTACAACTTAAGTTAAAAGATAAATGCTATCAAGCTCTTGAGTAATAAATTAGCACATAAAATGCATTATAAAAGGTGTACCCAATGCACGAGGATCTCACCAATGCGGGTCTTGGGGGGTCAATTTATGCAGTATGAAAGAATTTTCAAGCGATATACATGGACACTTCTGTCTCTTTGTTAACACGAACGTGCTTAACATCATATTAAATTGAGAATTAGATTAAAGAAAGCAAAAGGAGCACATTCATATCATCCTATGGAATCTAAGCAGAACTAAACTAAGTCTTCATAATATCGTATGAAACCTAAGCTGAACTAAACTTTGCTTACAGTAGTTTCATGCTCTTAGTACAAGTTATATTTCGATAGGATCATCCTATTGAAATAAAGTGTATGCTGCATGTCATGCCATGTACCATCTTGCAGGGCATTATATGTGAGCATCAATTTGATCACAGCTAACTATTATAATATACATGGACTGATTTGTTGACCAGGATTGGAAGCGAAGTTTGGGTATTCCAGATTTGTATGATACTTTTGCAATTTCAATCTCCATTCTGCGGTTTTCCCATTTGAGGTGGGCTTTCTATAATTTTGGACATTCTTGTTCATATATGATATTTTCTCCTAGACAAATGTTTGATCCCATAAAAACATGTCAGCTGTCTTTTCTTGAATGAAAATGCATAAATCAATCAATTTCCCTCTAAAGATAGTCACATAGATCACATGCATCACCAAAGATGATCGCATGTATTTAATGAATCAATCAAGGACTCATTGCCAGCAGTCGCACTGGTTTATAGTTATCAAACATAATATCTATGATTATTCATGTGTTTAAAAATATTTTGAATCCACATTCTTAGAACAATTTCATCTTTAGTATCCATTCATTTATATGTAAGCACAACTATCAGTTGATTGTTGGAATAGATTTTCTCAAAAGGAAACTAGGTCATTTAGTCATTGAGAATAAGCTACATACCAGTTAGACTGATACATGATTAGACAAGGTACTCTTTAACTCTGAGCTGTTATGTAATCGCTGTAAATAAATGTGGTGCTTATATTAGTGCAAGAATGAATTTAAATTGAGCCTCATTGTAAGCAGTTTGTATGTTGTATTTAACTTGAAATTCTTTGCCAGAAGAGAAAATTTTGCCTTCTGATCTAGACAAAGTTTGTCAAAAGACAGCTCAACAGACCATGACCTAATCATTAGTGTTCTGGATCTGTTGTATTTGGAAGATTCAGCCATGGTCGTTCTTTAAATGCTAGCTATTGTTGGAGTTTGGATGCATGGCATATGTTTTTTTCAAAGGTTGCTTGACTTTTTTACTGGGATCAGGCTATTATATCTGGAAGTAGTTGCATATATAATCCATGAAACTTGTTGATGGACGCTCCTTAAATCTTCATCTATATAAATTTTCATCAATGTATGAAAGATACTCCATAAATCTTGTTGAGATTCATGTTTTTCTCAAAAAGTCTCTACATCAGGTTAATGTTGTAGATACTACGAGAGCTCATTTGGTGGATGTCCTCCATGCTGCTGTTTGTCACAGAAACATGATATTCTTGGGGAACATATCACTGGAGAAGAAATAGGTCATAGTTGATTCAATTGGGTCACAGTATTGACTCAATATACTTTAGCAATTGGATCATACTAGACTCAATATCTTTGGCAATCCTCCTTGGCAATTCATGATGAGACAAAAACGGATGGTCCAAAACAATGCACTCCTCTCAATATTCCATTACTAATTCTGGTCACCTGGGTCACAAATTAACTGTGATTGCTTCTCTCACTAATTCATTATGAGACATTCCATTTATTAATTAAAACAAGGATTCATGGTTCAAAGAGGCTGAATTTCAACAGAAACCCCTTCTTTTGCTTCCATTCTATTCTGTAGTGCTTTCATCTGAATTGATGTCATTCTGAAAATTAAACAAAATTCTTGTATTTATTTTGTTGTGAGATTGGTTGATGTTTAGTTTAAGAATTTCATTATGAACAAGGGTAGTTGCAAATGCTCTCAAGGTCGTTTATCAGTGTCTTTCATTAGTTTTGGAAAATTAACCCTTTGACATGCCTCTTTTTCTTTCCAACCTGGAGTAAAGCAAATTACCTTAAGGCTTTTGTGGAGTTTCGTATGAGTTGACTTGATTGTAAATTGATTTCTATTTGGTTTTCAATAGATATCCCAGCTGACAAGGAGCCACTAGACTGGAACACGCGGATGAAGATAGCAGCTGGTGCAGCTAAAGGCTTGGAATACCTTCATGATAAGGCGAACCCTCCAGTTATTTACCGTGACTTCAAATCATCGAACATACTTCTTGGTGAAGGTTATCATCCAAAGTTGTCAGATTTTGGGCTTGCAAAACTTGGTCCAGTTGGTGATAAGACTCATGTTTCAACAAGAGTGATGGGCACATATGGTTACTGTGCTCCCGAGTATGCTATGACAGGGCAGTTAACTGTGAAATCTGATGTTTATAGTTTTGGTGTTGTCTTTCTCGAACTGATTACTGGGCGTAAAGCAATTGACAACACACGACCTGCTGGAGAACAAAATCTAGTTGCATGGGTATGTTGTTCTTTTTCTTTTTTTGAACTGCTCCGTCCTATCTCTTCTGGCTTAGTTGTAGGATTCAAGTGAAGGTGCACCATTTACTAGTATGATGATTCAAAGTCTTGATCCCAGCTCTAGATTCCAAAATTAAATATTACATTTTGGGAATATAAAAGTAAAAAAAACTAGGTTATATGTTGACCTTTCAAATATCAGTTCAGATTTTGCTTAAAATTATGATCCTGTGAATCTCATGTACAGGCTCGTCCGTTATTTAAAGATCGAAGAAAGTTCCCTCAGATGGCTGATCCGTTGCTACAAGGCCATTATCCTGCAAGAGGCTTATATCAGGCATTGGCTGTTGCAGCAATGTGCTTGCAGGAGCAAGCAGCTACTCGTCCACTCATAGGGGATGTTGTGACAGCACTTTCATATTTAGCTTCACAAACTTATGATCCGAATTCAGCTACTGGTCAGAGTACTAGGTTTGGCCCATCTACCCCAAGATCGAGAAGTGGAAAGGACCATCAACATGCTGTCCATTCACCACAGCGAAATTCTCCAGATCTCAGGCAAAGGGATCCAGTGAAGGGACTAAGCAAAGGTGCAAAAGTTGGCAGAGGTGGTTCTGGTTGCGGATCCGGGCAGAAGTGGGGCTTGGAGGAGTCTGAGACACAAGAGTCTCAGATGGATAGCCCAGTCCACATTGACGGAGCAAGAGACTCCCCGAAGAACCGTGATCTTGTCAGAGAGCATGCTGTTGCAGAGGCCAAATTATGGGGTGAGAAATGGAGAGAGAGACAGCGGAGAAATGCACCAGATAGCTTCGAAAGTACACACGAGTAGAGGTCCTTCCAGATCCATTCATTTGGATGGTACTTTTGCATGTTTTGCCTTCATGTAAAGGAGGATGTAGGTTGGAATTCAACAACTGGTCAGTAGGCACGACATCGCAGCTTTCACGGTACCATTATTCTTTGTGAATAATCCAACTTTTGTGGTGTCACCGCTCACTTCTCAAACTGCCGTGGACTGTGGTATCTTTTCATGCAAGGTTATGTGTCTCGCGGAGGCCTTGTCATTCGACATTGAAGCTCAAAGAAAGATAAAAGAAGAAAAAGGTCCAAAAAGTGTTAAAGTGTTGCATTTCAGAATGCATACATGCAATGTAGCACGGGCCATTACTATGTCGTTGAATTGGTGCATATTCGATGTAGGGCCTTTATTGGTCTAAAATACATGAAAATTTCATTAGTTTTTTGTCCATAAAATATATATATGAGTTTGCTTTTGGATATCTCTTTGATATGCCTATTCCTCGTAGGCATCTTTCCTTGTATTTTTGTCATGCATTTGGAAACATAAGAGAGCTGCTGCACTTGGCCCTGCCAATAATTTAGCAGACTCTTGCTCACTGGGATGTGTGATTATTATGTATCTCATGAAGTCTGTTTCCATTGTTCATGAGCGAGTATATCAAACATGCATCAACGTTTTTTGCTGCTTATTATCTGACCATCTAATTCAGTCTACCAAAGTGAGAAAATAGGGTTTCAGGCAGAATTTCACATGTATTTAAGTTCATAATACATATACATGTCGTCATCTTCGATCTCCATCAATTAATAATGATCATTTGGTGAAACTCTAAATGACATTAATCCTTCTTTAAAATTTTAATAGGTTTTCTTTTTCCAATTCAACCTTAGCTAATATCAGCTTTTTTAAATCATGGCTAGACTAAGCGTTTCTTTGATAGATGTTAATCGGAGGAATACATGTGAAAGATTTTAATATTTGACGGGATACATATGTTTGTTATATGAAAATTTATAAATACAAATATGTTATTTTCAAACTTTAGAATGATAAATAGGTAAAATAAAAAAAAAGCCAATATCTTACTGTATGGAGTTTGGTTTGATTAATTTAATTATAGCTATAATTGAGCCAACCGGATTTGTCGAGTAAGATCTTAATCTCGGAATACTGAGAGGATTAGCAACGAAGGATGTTAGAAGATGAACACTCGAATGATATTAATGAAAGGACCAACACCACCGAATTCTGTTTGTAGAAGAATTAGTTTCAATTGTGAGAACAAACATAAAATAATTGTTTTATGTTACACGACAATATTAATAAATTATGGATAGAAAAATCACCAGTTTTCTTTCTCCAAGCCAGCAAGAAGCAAGCAAGAAAGGCTCCCACCGATTCACGACGACATTCATCCTTCCGATAATATGCCAAGAGAGAAGACATAGAATTATCATGGAATTGGAGGCGAGGAGGAGAAGAGAGTGGTCACCTGGTCGTGATACATCGAACATGGACATCGAAGACGTGATCTCTACCTTAGAGAAGGTCGTTCGATGTTGTTTGTGGATGTGACTCCTTAGGTTTTGGCAGTTGTGCAATCGTCGTCAAGCTGATTCTAGCATGAACACTAACTACGACAACTAAGCCGACGCAGCTACTTTCTTCTCTTTGCTGGTAAGCTCTCATCCTACGGCGATGTTGTCATGGTGTCAAAGGGTCTACACAGTTGTGTGCATTTCACAATGATAGCTTATCGTTAAGGTTGGAAAGTAATTTTAGAAATCTTAATTATATTATATTAATTGATGTATTCTTAATTAAATTATTTTTTTAATAAAATATAATTTTTTAAAAAATAAATATCTCATAAATGTCTAGATTTTGATGGGGAGAACAAGATGTGAGGAATACTTTTGGTGCTTCTAGATTTTTAGATTTCTCTCGAAGGTGCCTAGAGATGCTGCTCTTTAGGATTTCTAGAAATGATAAAAGAAAAAGATATGAATTCTTCAAAATTTATTTAAAAAGGTATGTAAAGAAGTCAAGTGGGAATAATTCAAGATTTTGTAATTAAGAGAATATAGATGATGAAACATTAACAACTCACAATGGAGATTGACGAAGAGGATAATTTGATAGGGGTAGATCTCAACATGGTAGGCCAAGGTCAAAAGTCTAAGTCTTTTT